TACCTCCGGCTCTTTTTAAAGATGGTGGTGACTTTCTGACTAAGGAATTGACGACGTTGTTTACAAAGGTCTAGGAACTAGAGAATGTTCCAAGGTCATGAAATGAGTCGATAATTGTCCCTATCTTTAAAAAGGGTTCACGTCGTTCCAGTTACAACTATCGGGGGATAAGTCTACTTCCGATTGCGTCCAAGCTATTGGCTTCCGTCATTCTTCGTAGGTTGTTCAAAACCCGAGAAAGATTGACTCGCGAGGAGCAGGCTGGGTTTCGTTCTGGTCGAGGATGTATTGATCATATCTTCACCCTCCGCCAAATGTTAGAACACCGCCATACTTTTCAAAGGCCAACAATCGTAGTGTTTCTTGACATCAGGGCTGCCTTCGATTCGTTGGACAGGACTGTTCTCTGGGATTGTCTATTGAAGAAGAGTGTGCCTGAGAAGTTTATTAACATCCTAAAGGCCCTATATACAAACACCTCAGGCAGAGAGAGGGCATACAACCACCTCTCTCCATTGTTCCATTCAAGCAGTGGGGTTAGACAGGGTTGCCCAATCTCACCATTCCTCTTCAACTTTGCCATCGACGACATTCTGGAAACAGCTCTGGTGAATGTAAGCAGTGGCGGTGTGGATCTGTTGTCTGGAGAAAGACTTATCAACCTTGAGTATATGGATGATATTGTCTTACTGTGCGATAATGCCCAAGGCATGCAATCCGCACTTAATCAGTTGTCAATCAATGCACGTAGGTAAGCTATGTGCTTTGCACCTTCCAAGTGCAAAGTACTTCTACAAGACTGGCAGGATCCTAATCCTGTACTCATCCTGGGTGGTGAGCAGATAGAAGTAGTCGAGAAGTTCGTGTATCTAGGTAGCTGCATAAGGGCTGGTGGCGTGAGCGATGAGATCGATTCACGTATAGTGAAAGCCAGAGAGGCTTATGCTAATCTGAGCCATCTTTGCCACCTTCGTGATGTCAGTCTGGCTGTAAAAGGTCGGATCTACAACGTGTCGGTGAGAGCATTCTTGCTCTATGCTTGTGAAACCTGGCCTCTCCGAGTTAAGGATGCTAGATGACTCTCTGTATTTGATCATCATTGTCTCCGAAGGATTGCTTACACCCAGTGGCAACACCATGTTAGTAATGAAGAGGTTCAGCATCGTGTGTTCGGGCACAGAGATGATAATCTAATTAGTGTCACCATCATGAAACACCGACGTCGGTGGCTTGGACATGTTCTACGAATGTCGTCCTAGAGAATTTCTCGTTGTGCATTATTTGCCGACTCTGGGACTGGTTGGAGAAAGCGGAGAGGTGGTCAGTATATGACATGGTGTCGTGGGATGAAAGAAAGCTGCACAGGACTGGCTTCCGTCGGTCCTTCACGACTCCCTGGTTGGGGTCTGAGAGATGGTGCTACACAGTGGCTAGAGACGTCATCAGATATGGCTCAGAATAGAAGCCAGTGGCGATTCTGCTGTAACCTTCTTTTACTTTCTTCATAAAAAGTGGCTGTGTCTTCCTTAACTGAAAGATTTCTTCTGATTGTACCTTTACGTTCCTCATTACTATTATTATTATTATTGCCACTCTACTTCGCACCAATCTCTTCGTTATTGTTCTTTTTTAACGCTTCTTTTTTCCTTCTCTTCAAATTCTCATTGTTTTGTGTGGCGCATATATATTTGGCGCACACTTGTACCAACATTTATGTGTTCAAATAAATAAATAATTCTCGCATTGTGAATAATACAAAATTTACTGCCTCTGAGACTCAAGATAGACTTCTATAGTCAGGTATTTTCATATTTATAGGCAACAGAATACAATCTTCCGTCGTATTTTTTTAGTAAAACCACTACTGTCATACGTTTTTTTATCATGTGATAGATCATTAGTATGATGTAATTTAGTCACATTAGAAAGTTAATATAACTGTTTCATGTCTACATTAGTTAATGCTGGCATGAAATTGTTTTATTGGATTATCAACTTACATACCGTAAATTTGTTGAATTAACACAATCTATAAAATGAATTGATTTTATATTACTTACTTGTGAATCTATGATTTTGATCTCTTCTATAAATTTGGGATTACAGTTTCATTTTATTTTAATAGTTGAGATCATGATTTAATTGAAGCTAGACCACCAAAAAAAACTGGATGCACTGGACAGCCGTCTCGTCCTGTTGTGGGACGCTTCACCAATGCACACTAACGGTCCTGTGTAGAAATATTCGAACCTAGGATCTATCCGTCTCACGCGCGGGCGCTTAACCATTATACCACTGAGTCCGCCGGCATGCAACGCTGTTAATTCCTAACTTCAACTAATCCACAAAATTGAGCGACACATCCACCATTGTTTTCAGTGATTTGCTATCTCACAACAGACCCGTTTGAAATCCACTGGTCAGTATTTCTAACTAGATTTCCTGGAAATACCTCTCGAAACCAGTCATTAGTGAGGATATATTGATTAGTATCAGAAGGCGTTTTACTGGATATGATAGTAATTTCAATTATTTTTCCTGCTTACCAAGGCAAACCCTCACTTGGAATTCTCAAAGCCAAAAGAAAAGAGGACAACCAAAGAACATATTACTCCAAGAAATAAAGACAGACAGACATGAGAAGAATGAACAACAATTGAATAGGTCTAGAAAGGAAGGCCCAGGAAAGAGTGAGTTGGAGAATGCTAGTTGGTGGCCCTTGCTCCATTAGGAGTAATAAACTTAAGTAAGTAAGTATAAGTAATTCCAATAATTGAAGCTAGATCATTATTTGATTATTCAATTCAATTGAAGAATTTCGATTGAAACATATAGAATTGAAAATAACCAATAGGATAATTAGAAATAATATTTATTCAATCATCTGATATGTTGACCATTGTATCCAATATTGGTTAAATAAACTTGTAGATTTACCTTAAAGTACATCTATCTACTTATATACTTATTTCATTACTAATTCACTTCTATACAAACGTATATATATATTCATAATTATCCTATTCTAGTAATACAATGTATAAAAATGGTTGTGCAATTGAAAGAATATTAAGACATAAACTATGCAAAAATGATTTTGATAATTTACTATTTTGGTCTGATTCCATTTGTCATTTAGATAATGAGAAACCACAATTTAAACATTTTATTATTGGACAAGAATGGTTATATACAATGAATCATCCACAAAGACAATTAGATTGTAGAATACATTTCAATGTATGATACAATATGAATTACATTCAATTCTAGTCTATTTTAGATATTGAATGTATTGGAGATATAGCCATGTTTCTAACATGTCAAATTACACGAAATTATAATCATATTTGTGTGAAATTTATCAGTAAACAGATTCAACAACAACAACAACAACAACAACGAAAAACGGTTAAATCTGTTAAGAATACTAAGCAAAATGTCAAAGTAAGTTCTTGTAAATAGTAGGAACTTCAATCATCTATTTTATAGTGATGATAAAGATTTGTAGTTCAACTGAATGAGTTTGATGTTGTTAAGTTCTCGAAGGTAAATAGTTTAATAGAGGATTTTTTATTGTCATTCTGGACGTCACCATCCTAGCCTACTTCATGATTAAAACGAACTGTTCAGTTATTGTACAAGCACCAAGTCACGTCATTTAAATGATTTTCTTTGTGATTACGTCTTCGTGTTTTGCACCATCATTAATTTTTATTATATTCTTTTCGAACTCATGGTCAATTAAATCCCGACCGTGTAGCGAATTGACGTCAGTTCTAAACTGACGACTAACTTTTATATCACGCTTCTAGAAGTTCTCCATCATTTTAAGGATACTATTGATTGAAAATTTTAAAGTTTTCACATTTCGATTCATCTCCATGGTTGGTCAATGATAAAATATTGTCACTTTTTACTCATCGTTTTCGCTCGTATGTGCGTAAGCGAATGGGGCGTCTACTTTGTTCACTTTAGTGTTTCTCTAAGTTGGTTCAGTCTTATTTGTAGTTGAGATTGCTTTTGTATCCTTTCACTGTTATGTCTTTCGGCTTGTATAAAATGGAATAAAGTGATTGTGGTGGTTTGTGAAGCATATTGATATGAAAAAAGTTTTGCAATCTTTGTTGTCATTTCTGAGATGACTTCCACATATGGCAGAGCAATTTTCTCCCTTACATATGAGTTTGGTGTTATTCAGAATGGAAATGAATATGTCACAATTATACCATTGAAATCATAAAACTTAACTTTATTAAAATGTGTTTAGTATTTCGTTTAAAGTTCCTCATCCCATTTAAACTATCCAATGTAAGGACATTAGAAAAGATGCCTAGTTTAAATGATATTAGTAGCTGACAGTATTTCTCAAATGCAAATCAATAGTTTTGTTGAAAATTTCTTTAATTTCTCTCAGCACTTTTTAAAAATTCTTTATGAATTGAATCCTGATAATTCATCACATCTCATGATGAAATATTTACAAATGAGTGTTAAGTGTTTCTTACTTATACCGCCTGTTACCCCTCGTGAAGGAGTATAGACTGCTCACCAGCACTCTTCATCCAAACCTGTTCTGGGCAATCCTTTCCAGCTCCTTCCAGTTGTTATTCATCGTTTTCATACCTGATTCTTTTTCCCGAAGTAATGTGTTCTCTGACCTTCCGCTTTTCCGCTTTCCCTCAGGGATTTCAAGTTAGGGCTTGCCACCTAGTGCAGTTTGATGATTTCCGTAATGTATGTCCTATTCATTTCCATAGTCTTTTCCTAATTTCCTCTTCAGCTGGAAGTTGGTTTGTCCTCTCCTACAGTAGGCTGTTGTTGATGGTATCTGGCCAGTGGATGTTGATTATCTTGCATAGACAACTATTTATTCACAATTGTACCTTCTTGATGATGATTGTCATAGTTCTTCAAGTTTAGGCTCCATACAATAGAACTAACTCTCTTGACGTTCGTTTTGAAGATTCTCACTTTGATATTGATATTGCTTCTTACTGAAAACATAAATAACAATTAAATCATAAAGGCAACCAACTGACGACATAACTCAGAAACACAATGAAACGCTTATTTGTTTTTCTTTTAATGTGAATATGACTGTACAAGTCACTTGGATTTCCTTTGCAAAATATCACCTGTCACTTCATTAATCAAACAACTAGTTCAATGCTTCATTTTATTATGTTAGAAGACAGCTGTTCAATGCTCTTTAGTTTTAACGATTGCCCAGGTAAAGTCATTCCTCAATGAAAAACTATAAGATGTTTTTTTCAGGGTAAATTTTCAGTTGAATTCACTTGAGAATTTTAATATTCAATACAGTTTACAGATAAATTAGAAACAGTCAAAAAGGAATGTGCTATCATAGATGATGTGAATATTGATCAACAAGCTGGGATATTAACCTCTAAAGTTACGTAAGTTATGTAAAGAGGTGTTTTTAGTTTGAAAGTTATTTAGTAAATCATATATTCAAATAATGTGTTTTTTGACGGTCTTCAAGAGGTATTTCCTGGAGTTCTAGTGAGAGGTAGTGACCAGTGGATTTCAAAGGGGTCTGTTGTGAGATAGTAAATCACTGATGACATTGGTGGATGTGTCGCCGAATTTCGTGGATTAGTTGAAGCTAGACATTAACACCGCTGGATGCCGGCCGACTTAGTGGTCTAATGGTTAAATGCTCGCACGCGAGAATGATAGGTCCTGGGTTACAATCTCGTGAGGTGAGATCGTGGATACTCACTGCTGAAGAGTCCCACAGTCGGACGAAATGACTGTCCAGTGTTTCTAGGTTTTCCATAGTAGTCTAGCATCAGGTGGCTCATGATGTCAACTAATAAAATTACTATAATATCCACAAATTCCCTTCTGAAAATAATTTGTTGTTTACCTCTTAATTAAGAGTACGATAAAATATTTCATTACATGGCAGTTTAAGTATTTAAGTTAACAAATCTGTAGTGACCTACTTTTATCAAGAGAACGCAATTGGTTTAAAGGAAGCAATGATTATTATAACCAATTGTACTGTACTAAAGACATTCTGCCTTTCTTTGATTGTGACCTTGCACGAATTCGGTTACGCTCAGTAACCACACTTTACTCCTTTGGCACGATCTCAGTATTCTTTCGATACCACGAGATCACCAACGAATACATCTCGACTACTGCCTTCTGATATTTGGCTTACGGAGATCTTATCGGTTAACTGGCATGTAGTCTTCCTGTAGTGATGATCATAGTCAACCGCGACTCGACACCACCCTAAAAATCTATGCTTCCATATATTCAGAGAATAAAATGAATTGTACAATGTTTCTGAAGTCTTCTTAATATTAATCTGTTATAAATTTCATAATGAAGTGAAATGAATAGGAATAAATCTGATTGTCTAAAATAATCAAATTTGATTTGTTAATTAAGAATTCCAAGAATAACTCAATTTAAAAATGACAGAACTCGATCTTCGTTTCTGACACTTTAACAGCACACACTAATGATCTGCTCATGTGTTAAATCGATATGAGGTACAGTTTGATTTTATTTGAAATACCCAATGTAAAATGTATTAATGCCGTAAAGATGGAAATGTAGTTGTGAATAAATGAATCCAATAGAAAATAGAATTTTTAAAGTGAAATGTGACCAGAAATTAAAAAGTTGTGATACATTTGACATTTTATATGTTACATCTTACGACGTTGCGTCTTATCAATATATATATAATGTAATGATATCATGAATTAGAGAACAGCGAATTATCGACCGGATCAACGACTCATAAACCTGTACAGGAAGTATAGAGTCTTTATCAGTCCTTCTTTCTGCATAGTCCTGCCTGTTATAGTCCAGAACACCAATGTCAGTCTCTTCAAGATGGATCATGTATTTCAAACATACTGGGTTTATATACAAACCAAACAGACCACATCACACCATAAAATAAAAAATACACATTTGTACAAGATTTAGCCAGATGTGACGGTGAATATGAGAGAACTGTAATTAATAGACTGGGTATAACTCAAGAACGGTAAGTCGTATAATAATAGTTGATGGGTCAAAATAAAGCTTAGAATAAGAGGAAGATGAATATGCATAATTTAGTTACTTAGTGATTATACAATAAAAATATGTGGATAGTATTAACCAGTTGCCATGCATAATTCTTATCAGGATTTAAACATTATGTAACCTGATTTTTATCATATAATGATGGTTCATAATCATTTATGCACTAATATTGATCGTTTCATGTTTGTTTTTTTTTCTTCTTTTTAGAGAAAATGATCATGATCCAGTTATTAGTGTCATTCGAAAATTACACATCTATTTAACCGATACAAATTTTATTGGATTTGATATTTTACAAAAATCAATAAATCGATGGTATTATTCTAATAAACAATTCAAACATATGATTACAAATTTAATGAATTTATCACATTTTCAACTAGTCCAAACATCATCAATCAAACAATCCCTTTCATCATCATCATCATCATCATCATCATCCTCACCATCCTTAGAAAAAGATAATATTGAAGGATTAATTGCTAAGGCAACTAGAAAGAATACAATAATCTATTCAACAACAGCTGATAATGAAGATTTACAACAATTAATGAATATGTTTAAACCATTCTGTAAAAATGTTACCATGGATACAAGTAATATTCAAATGAACAATCATATGGATACATTCACTATATATATAAATAAATTAGATCATTGGATTAATAAAACTAAAATGATCAATGAATTCATACATAAAAAACAGATCAATTTGAATATTATTCATCTTATAAATCAACAATTAAATCAATTAGATCATAATTTAACAATCATTTTGGATAAATATCCTTTAGATGTTTGTATAAGATTATCTAATCAACTGATTACAATTATGGAGCTTCTTTTAACTCAAGTAAGATTATTAGGGGATTAGAATGTCTTAAATTCTTTCAAGTATATCATCTGTCTTTCATAGGGGTAAAATATCATCCAGTTAAAAGAAGTCATCAAATTTTCCTTTTAATCATTGTTAAGCTTCATCATCTTGACAACGAGAATTTTGTACTAAAACAAAAATATTCATTATTCAATGGTACCCTTTACTCAAATGGTCATTCATTGTGACATTGAATGATATGCATCCAACTACTGACTATACAGAGTATTAGTTCTCTCAATATTGTAGTTATGATGAAGAAATGTTGACAATTCTATCTTATACCAAAACTGTAATATTGAATAAAGCCATTAATAATGCTAGGGTTGAAGCTATCACAAGTTCAATTAATCTACGAACGAGAACAAAGACTCAGTGACCAAAGACCAGTAAGCTAGCTATTTGATGTGTCTTAGAGGAAGAATTTCAAGCTTAGAACGGAGAAGTATATTCTGCAAACAGCTAGAAACGAGTGATAACAACAAACGCAATTTAAAACATATATATAGAGTACAAAACCGTCCTTGAGGTGAGTTACCAAATAGCATACTAAAAGACGCAACGGACCAATAGCATTTAAGATATTTCGCAGTGGGAAATACGTCACGAAGGCGACAAGAGCGCTTATGGAGCGAAGACAATGAAATTCTAATTTTCTAAATAAAATTACAAAATTAGGTCCTTTCCCAAATGAGTTCTGGGGATCTAACGTCCCCAACAAATAATAATAAGAAGAAAATCAAGATCTAAGGTCTCTTGCTAATTGCTTTCAACCAGTTTATATCAAATAAAATGTACAGGGATATTAAATCATATCGGTCAATAGTCACCATTTTATTTTATATGCTCCAGTGTAAACACAACCTAAGAATCAATGGACTTGATCTGAAAGTTCACAGAAGAATATTTGGACAGTAACTGTAGAACATTGTTCATTTAGTAAAATATTTTCTCATTTGTACCATGTTTCTTTTACGAAGAAATAACAATCCTGTTGTGGGATGCTCTACTGATGTCGACAGAGATAAGTAGCATGTATCATCAATAGAAAGTGAAATATCTAGAGGCAGAAGACTAAAAAGATCAAGGCAAAGAGAACGACAATAGAGAAACGAAGAAACAATGAAATCTGAGACGATTGATGAATAATTTGCAAATGAAGTATTTACTGTATGGTTCTCAGATTTTGCTAAAACATTCTGTAAAGTTGTATTCAAATCCATTTTGGTTTTCCCCTCATGTGTTCTTTTTCACTATACTGGTACTATTGTTGAGTTTATTACAAACTATTGATCAATTAAAATGATACTCAGAAATATCTTGTCATTTTAGGTAACATTTACATTGCCAGCGCAACCAATTTGTCATGGAAACAAAGAAACACAAATATGCGTTGAACTAGAAGACCGTGATAAACACATCATAGGAACTCAATCAAAGCAAACAACAAGTGATCGCATGAAACTGGTCATTCATTTAATGAAAATAATCAATTTATTACTATCATACATTTTGCCAATATTTACACAATCCAATAGAAATCTTAGTCTACTGAATAAGGATAAAATCACAATAACTGTGAATGAGAAAGTTATGAGAAAAAAATTGGAAAAAGTTATTTCACATCTCATTGAACACTTAGTACAGTTACCATGTGTAATTGATGACTTCTGTTTAGATGTATTATATAAGGAAAGTACTCAACAGCCTAATTGTTTTCAAATTGAATTGGAGACATGGATTCAAAGATATGAAATGGAAAGATTAGTAAGTTATTCATTATGAATATGAAATAAATTCATTTTGTTTGATTCATTGATTGTCAAATTGTCAGAAGTTTCTGTGGATAAGCTACCTATTATGACAGATGATTCGTTAGGTTAGGCAATATTCATGTATTAAAGTATTCTCTACAATGAAGTAGTGCATTACGGATAAAGATGGAATGTTTATAGCTAGTCATCAAATCTGGCAATAGATTTTGGCTTTGAATCTAAATGATGAACATCAAGTTTTGTGTTAGGCATTGTCTAATTCTGATAATGATAAACCAGTTTTCTGTCCATTAGCCCGAATGATTACCTGAGTGGGAGGACAGAGTGAAATGTACACTAACGAATATACGTATGTAGTGAACAAGAACACGAGTGGGGACAATCGAATGTATTTGACACGAAATTAGAGAGCAAATATCAGTCCATTGTCTCAGATTTCATTGTTCCTGCATTTTCATACCATTCTTTTCATCCGGTTCTTTCCTTCTCGATCTTCTACTGAAATACATTCTATGTCTGATTAAGTAACTCACACCACACGTATATTTCCTTCGGAAGTTTAAGCCACGTTTTTTCATCAGAGATATGTATCCCACTCCCTAAGAAAGGAAACCAAATTTTAGCCAGTTGAACACTCATATTATTTATTCAACGTCTATTTGACCTACTATATCACTATGATAACCAGGTTCATATTAATTAGTTCCATTGATTAGCAGAACAAGTTAACAAATACATTATTCAGTGATTATTCCAACTGCTTTCAAACTTTTCGTGCACGTTTATCATATTGTTTACCGAAACTGACGTAACTTTTCGATTATATACTTGATTACTTTCATATGTTAAAGTATAGCCAATTATATTTATATAGAATAATCTTAATAAGACAACCATCATATATGATAGGTTAGTGGATAGATGTTAATAGTTCTCTTATAATTGTATGTTCAATAGTTTTTTCTGGTTAGCGTTTTTTTGGCGAGTTAGTTTTTTACGGGATGGGTTCGATAACCCCATGCCCAACCCTCCTCCTTTATCCGGGCTTGGGACCGGCAGTAATCCCCAGAGGGACTCCAGGCGGAGTTGTATGTTAATAGACTGATGAAATGTACTATGATGTCGTATTTTAGACATCATTAAAACTTCATGTGTTTAATTTACTCTCAATTCCACAGCATTATAAAGTATTGAAATACGATGAATTATTATTAATCTCAACCGAGCTAAAACTTCAATAAGACACAAATAAGAATTTGAATTTGAAGTAGACAGAATGGAATTGCACTGTATTATGATAACTAATTACAATGCATAATATAAAACATTTAACTTGATAACAAAAGTAAGAAATATTCGCCATACACTACGAGTATATCCTTATGATAATTGGATATAGTCGAATTTGCCATATTAAATAGTCATTCACCGAACTGTCCAATTCGTATTCGAGTAGTCACAAACCGATTAGATATCAAGTTGAAGAGAGAAATTTGTAAACACAATGAAAGTTATTGTATCTTGTAATTCAAATAACGAATGAAATAATGTACAAAAGAATTATCACTTGACAAGAAAACCAGAGTTCTTTATAAAAAGGCATTTTGCTATTGTATTCAAAGGTACTAGGATAAATGTAGAAATTGTAGTACCAGGTAATCTCATTGCATTTCAATAGTTTTGTAACAAGTTAGTTAAACAAAGCCTGACATATTTTAAAATGACTAGTCTAGGTGTAATAACACTTCATAGTTGGTCATTATTGAAAAAAAATAAAACAAATAGAGTCATTGAAACTAACAAGTATCTTTCATATTACAATAAGTCTAATTCATTTTATCATACATAGAATAGATGGTTAATCTGTATTGATATATGTAAACTCTTGATGAATTCTTCAAAAGATGCATTTATGTTTTCAAGTTTAAATTAAAAAGGTAGTATTTTCTGTATATTTTCTGTTTTCTTTTTTGTTTTCTTAAATTCCATTTGAGTAGCTTAATGAATACAGTGATTGTTTAATATTAGAAAAATTTGAATGCCACGGATCTAATCATCTCGTTTATTAAATGGTTTAATAAATGATGGATGATGGCTAGCAGTGGAATCCAGGACGCACATTTCGTCCTATTTGGGACTCGTCACCTGGTTTTACCTGCATCTCAAAGTTGATGTTCACTCTGGGACTCGAACCCAGCAGTACCATTCGCTTCAAACGTCATCACGTTATCCACTCAGCTGCTGAGTCCTGATAGTCACTTGCTTGTGCAATGGGGTTGCCTTAATTCACAAGCTTTTTGTAAGCAATGAAGGCAATATCGAGGCATACGCACACTATGCACATATGCCTATAACAGAATGATCAATTGCAGTCTTAAACCTGAATGGGAAGATACAAGCCAGACTATACCAAATGGTTTAGTAAATGTTCTTAATTTATCAGCTAAATTAGAAATAATTCACATAACCTCACAATTACAATCACTAACATCATTCTAATTGTTAATCTTACAAAAATGAAATAGATGAGATAGATAGAAATAGATGAGCAAGACAATCGTTTTTATGGATGAACCAATTAGATATGAGATAACAGGTCTGGGATTTGGGTGTGAAATTCATTCACCCATATGACTAAATAGAATCTTGGCATTATAGCTTATTTCAGTTCATGATGACAACCCTAAATCTAATTCCTAATCCTAACTATCAACTGTAAATCATAATTCTGATTCCTCACACACTGGTTTATAATCCTTATTTCGTCCTAGTTATGAAGTAGACACATTCAACGTCACTTTAGCCTCATTCAAAGATCCCCCATAAAATTATAGTCTCACTGAGATAATTAGATAATTACTAAAACAACTAAAGATCAAATCTCAAACAATATTTATAATAAATATTTTGGATTATTCACAATTATAATCAACACCATGACGATGGATATTGTTTTAATCTAAAGCATTAACAATTTATTGTCACCTGATTTAAACTTATTTTATGCATCAGGTCAAGGGCAAACTATTTCTGTATTAGTTCATATCCTTATGAGTGTACTTCAGTAAAAGTAAATCTTTGTCTGTGACCCATCTTTACGTTTAGTTAATACCTTACAGATATTATTTCATTATTAAGTCGGTTTTAATGAAGTATGTTCGCTTCTGGTAGGTACGCGATAAAAATCACTGATAGAAATAAATGATAAACCCTCAGTACAGGAAACTGATAGAAATCAAAACGATGAACCATTGGATGGTAACTCAGTTGTTTACACATTATATGGTTGCTGAAATATATAGAGATTTCAGGTATAAACCATTATGGGTTTGTAAGTATTGAAGACGTTAGATTCCCAGAACTCACTTGGAAAAGTTCTAATTTCGTAATTTTATTCTGAAAATTTGAATTTTATCTTTTCGCGCCAAGAGATGCTTAATTGACCTATAGCTTACATTTCCTACTCGGAAATTCTTGACTGTCATTGGTCGACGGATTTTTTTAATACTCTGTTTTGTGGCTCTTCCAATAACGTTCCTATCATTGTATAAATAAGCTTGATTTGTGTGCTTAGTGACCTTGTATTTTCTGTGTGCCTCATCAAGACTTCTTGATATAGTTAGCAGGACCGGGGACAACGGATTAGAATAGCTTATCGTGTCACTGTATCTTTGACTTTCGTTCCGTTTATCGAGTATAATGAACTCGTAATAGTATTCAAGCATGTCAGTAGGTCGACATTGTTGTTGTTCCTACTGCACAATAGTTGTCTAATTAAAGTCAGTTAATGAAGTTAACTATCATCAGATATTATTTTGTCGTTAAGTTAGTTTCCTTCATTGAATTCATAAATAATATGAGTTTTTATTATATTTTTCTATTTGTTCATATGAATCAATTATCCATTTATATATAGGATATAATGAGTAAAGAATATGTCTATGTTGATCAATGGTTACAAGATATTTCAGAAAAAGATCCATATGCAATCACAGTATCAACAATCAGAAGTATTTTCAATGATCATCCTGAAATTGGTATTTTCATACATCAATTCAATGATCAAATTAATTGTTTCTTTTCTGAACTTATATTAAATACATCACATTTATCAATCATATTGAATAGAACAAACAATCTCAATGGAATTGTTCATCAAGATGATTGGATAAAACTAATCATTCATAATATGATTATCATGAAATCAAATAAATCAATAATCTATTTATTAAATTGTCTATTAGCTCATGCATCTACAACATTTAATATTATGAATTCAAAAAAACTAAACAGTACTACTCATACTACTCATACTACTAATGCTAACACTAATACTCATACTACTCATACTACTAATGCTAACAGTACTACTCATAATACTACTACTAATACTACTAGTGCTAACACTAATACTCATACTACTGCTACTACTACTACTACTACCACTACTACTAGTAGTAGTAGTAGTAGTAATATGGAACAAAAAGAAGAATCTATATCCACAATTATTCGATCATTATTTATTATAGACTGGTTCACTGAACAATATCCATATTTAATTGATACATTAATGAATATAGATTATAAAGATTTACTTTATATTTTCAATATAAATAGTATTATATCTATAACAGATAAATTCAATGAAATATCTCGAATGAATTTAATACAAATCAAGTTGATTAAATGTATTCTAATTGCATTAATAAGTCGATTATATGAGAAACTTAATATTATCAGTGAAATTTCATAAAACAATGTCATTTAACGAGTAATGATTTGATCAAGTACAATGAGAACAATGTACATAATTAATTTCTTAAAACGATATATATCTGACATTGAATCGTATCTTGAAGAGTAACTTAGTTGATTAGGTATATTTATCAGTTATAAGTACTTAAATGTATTGTGTTTTATTGTAAATCTTTTCACATAGTAAATATACTGATTCATTGATATTCAATGGTGTAAAGTTCAGTTTTCACAGATCCGTGAAGCTGGGAGAACCAGTTCCCTCAAGATTACAGGTACACCTTGCTGACGAGTGTGACAAGTGGCACGAAACCTGAGTTCAGGGTTTCCTGTTGACTACCTCCAGCCACCATCTTATCTCAACATAGTGCACGCAGTGTCGTGTCACCAAGACTGGTGGTCACATTGCAACTTGGTCGGTAGCATTCGATCTGCACTAAGAAGGACTTTTGCACCACTTTTCCTAACCTTCGAATAATAATTTAGAGCAAAGACCGAATACATAGAAGCAAACAAGAGAGAGAAAAGGAGCATTACAGCTGACAATCAGAAATACGTGGAAGACGTGAAAACGACAGCGGAAATGCAAGACAAATACATGACACAAGAAAGAATCTTGCAGGGAAAATGTAGTAAACCAGAGATAACAGTCAAGAACAAAGAATATAAGTCAATCACTGAGATTCAAGAACAGAGGAACAGATGGGTAGAAAACTTTAAGGAACTCTTGAATAGACCATCCACACTGAACATCGAAGCAACACACACAGACCTTCCTATAGATGTCACTCCACCAACGACGGAAGAAATCAGATTGACCATCAGACACGTCAAGAGTGAGAAAGCATCAAGACGCGACAACATACGAGCTGAATCACTGAGGTCACATGTGGAAGCAACTGTAAACATGCTCCAAATTCTATTCAGGAAGGCTTGGGAGGAAGAACAATCGTCAGCAGACTAAAAAGGAAAAACACTTCATCAGGATACCCAAGAAAAGAGATTTGAGCAAATGTGAAAACTACAAATAAATCAAACTACTATGAGTATCAGGAAAGGTTTTCAACAGAATGTATTTGAGCCAAATGAAAGATTCGGTAGACACTCAACTTCGAGATCAACAGGCTAGATTAAGTAAGGATTGGTCGTGCACAGACTGAATTGCGACAATACGGATCACTGTTGGACTATCATTTGAAAGGAACCTGTGATTATACACCAACTTTTATGACTATGAAAAACATTTGACAGTGTGAATTGGAGAACCTTATGAAACCTTCGTTAGCATTGCAGTGTACGTGTACGGTGTATTTATTTCCACTCCCTCTCACCTGGCGGTTGACTGGATTATGAAAATCGACACATCTGACGGGAAGCACGGAATACAATGGACAGCTTGCATGCAACTAGACGATTTGAACTTTGGAAATAATTCGAACCTTGTGTTCCATACAAACTCAAGCGGTAAATAAATCCCCAAAATAAATAGCTCTGTAAGTTTTCGACATTGAATGCTGAACACATTGGTTTTGATGCACTCACCTAGCTGAAAGGCGCTCGGTCATGTATCCGTACCAGATCAAGAATGGGAACGCCGTGCTCAACATCCCCTACAATCGCTACCCAGATTAGATCAGTCGATCCACGATATATTGATAGACTATCGAATATATCTTGGAACCTCCTCGCTTCTGTCTTTTGATTTCACTTGGAGGGTACGATTCATATTAGAATGTGTTACTGGTTAAAGCGTTGCCAAATCACAAATACCCGTGGCATCTTCGTTGATGAGCCTAACGTGAACTGGTACATCAAATTGGGATTTTATATATCATTGCCTTATTTTAATTTTTTATATATAGTGGTATTTCTCCGTGTTTTGGATATATATTTCTTCACTCGTTCATTCTCGTACTTGATGTCTCGTCATGGCTGAACAGACACCTAAGGTACTTAAGTTAGAGACTATATCACCACCTTCGTTTCAGCTAATGCCCTTCTGGCCAGACAACATCGAAGCCTGGTTCTGCTACGCGGAAGCTGACTTCTACGAGCACGGCATGATCGACACACTTGCACAATTCCTCGCAGTAGCCAGGGCACTACCTCACTAATTCAACAGGTACATAACATCTAGCATATTTACTAGTGATAGTTCGGAACCATATGAAAAACTGAAACGATCTATCCTTAAACGCGGAGATCTAACCAATCGACAACGGTTAGAATAACTCCTTAATAACATCGACCTGCAACATGGTTCTGCAACAGACATGTTGCAACGAATGAGAGAGGTTATCGGCCAAAAGCCTTCGATGATGGATTATTCAGACAACGTTCCATATCCAGACTTCCTCAACAGGTGAGAGCTCTGCTGGTCTCCTTTCAAAACAACTCCGTAAACGAGCTGACCACATCCTTGAAATCACGAAATTCTTTAATACTGAAGTCCTTTCAGTTAAAGAAAAACCTCAAACGACCCAGAATGACATAACAGAGTTATGTCGTACACTTACACGTTATTTGCAATTTCGTAATAACCGTAAACGGCCAACACACTGTGAAGAAGCACTTCACGCAGGCGATTTGTCTCTAGACCGCGGGAGACTGATAACCCTGACTGGTGCTGGTATCATAACCAGTATGGAAAGTCCTCTAGAAATTGCAGGAAACCCTGCAGATTTCCAAACTCAAAACCAACCGACACGAAAAATGTTATAAATTGTAAATCTGTGTGCCCTGTATATTGGATAGTGCAACGATACCGCCAATCAGAGAGCAGCGAATCATCGATTGAACCAGTGACGCATAAACACGTGCGAGCAACCTAGAGTCGTGATTGGTCCTGCCTCCCTGTCTAGCCCAACCAGTTGAGTTCAGAACACAAATCTCAGCCTCTGCAATATGAATCATTTATTTCAAACATATGGGGTTTATATACCAATCAAACAGACCACAACGTACCATAAAATAAAAAATTGCATTTGTACAATATTTGGCCAAAAGTGGCTGTGAATGAGGGAGATAGTAATTAATAGACAGGCCATAACTTAAGAATGGTAAATCGTATAATAATAGTTCGTAGGTCAAAATAAAACTCATAATGAAAGGAACATGAATATGAACAGTTTAGTTACATGACAGTCATACGATAAAAATATATTCGTAGTATTGGTCCATAAATGGATCCCGAAAATTACCATTTATTATTCTTATCGGGATATAACAAAAAACAATTCGGGAAACTTCCAAGCCGGCACGCATTAACTGCAACCGTAGCAGGCGAACATAGCAATCTGTTACACATCACAGATGTGATAACGAGAGTTCGCTACCTCATCGACACTAGCGCAGACGTTAGCGTTCTTCCAGCGAATTCTAACGACCGGCTTCGCGAATCTGTTTCAAACTTGCAGGTGGCAAACGGAAAGCCTATCGCTACATGTGGCAAAAGGTACGTTTATCCTGAAGTGGGTTTACACTAAACTATCTGCTCGCGTAACTTCTTTTTCCGGTTGCAGACTATCTCCTATCAAAGTTAGACACACGATAGACCCATTCTATCTACCTATACTAGATAAGTATTCTCGGATATACCAACCGCAACCGAAATTACCGTGTGTAACCAGCAACGTTACACGTCACATCACGACTACGGGACCACCTGTATTCTCGAGAGCGCGCCGACTGTCTGAAGTTAGCTAAAAACGAATTCTATTAGTGATAGAGTTACGTATCATAAGACTGTCAAACAGCCCTTGGGTATCTCCGTCGCACATGGTCCCTAAGAAGGCATTACTGTAAACACTCAGGAATGTTAAATCGGAACTGATTCCTTAGACTCCCTAGGACACACTAAAGATGCGCACGGCATCCGACCCCTTAGAAATAAAGCGGCATCCATTCCGGATTACCCAGAACAGAACACCATCAAGCAATTACGCATATTTAACAGCCTGGTGATTTTCTATGGACGATTCATACCGAACTGCGCGTCACTTATGAAACCGCTAACTGACCAACTTCGTGGTAGTGCGAAATCCATCAATCCAGATGACACCACGCGAGAAGCATCCTCCACAGTTAAGGAACTTATCGCTAAAGCAACAATGTTTGCACATCAGGACACTGAAGCACCCATTTGTATCGCAGTTGACGCATCCGAATCGGCAATCGGAGGTGTCTTACAACAATGGGTTAACCACTCCTACAAACCTTTGGCATTTTTCTCTAGACGGTCGCTAGAAAATTGCAGGCGAAGAAAGTCAGTATAGAAGCGGCATCTGCATCATTATGCCTTAAAATACACGGGGAAAACCACAATCCTGGAATACAACAACGAAATTCAGTGCAATCACTCTTGATGGAGAAGCTGTGGAAGATGTGAAAACTTCCACGTGTCTGGACGGCATCATCGATGAATGTGGATGGTCCGATGAGGACGTATATGCAAGGATTGGCAAAGCAATGTCCACATTCCTATAATTGAAGAACTCATGGAACTCAAAACAACTTTCAACCAATATCAAAGTCCAATCTTCAATACGAATCTCAAAACAGTTCTATTGTACAGAGCTGAAACGTGCAAAACTATTGCAACCAAAGTATTTAAATACAATTGTCTAAGCTAGATACTCACTATCATTTGGCCGGATACCATCAGCGAGAGCCTACTGTGAAAGAGCTTCCAACTGAAAAGGAAATTAAGAAACTTCGGTAGAATTGGATAGGACATACATTGCGGAAATCATCAAACTGCATCACGAGGCATATGTTAACTTGGAATCCTGAAGGTAAATAGAAAAGGAGAAAACCGAAGAACACATTATATCGGAAATTGGGAGTAGATATGAGGAATATGAATGGCAACTGGAAAAAAAAGGAGAGGATGGCTCAGGACAGTTGGATGGAGAATGCTGGTGGACAGCTTATGCTACTCTACGCGGGGTAACAGACAAAGGTAAAGAAGTCTAGTGCGGCGAAGAATTCCGGCAATTAATCGTCGCTTGTATTGTATTTTATTTTTTTCGGAGCAGGTTTTTTTATCTAAAGGAGTTGCACTGTCAACGTCCGAAGAAGCACGAATGGAGTTAATATGACGGTTTAATGGGTTCAGGACTATCAGATTACACTTCAATAAAAATAATAAAGGGCTTATGGTGAATAACATTCACTGTTAAGCGTCCATCAATGTTGACATCAGGGACGATAAAGAATAATCTAATAAGAATTCTGTAGTCCATCACATAAAA